GAATACATGAAAGTACTGCATTTAATGCTCTTTGTAGTCCAACTAGACCTATCCAATCCATATTACAGGTTTTTTTAATATTTTGCGATTACCTCAAGATCACCTTCAGCTTTGGAGGTGCAAAGTTTAGAATACTCTCTTACATCCATTCCCAGAAAATATTTTTTCCTGGTTTTTTTTTCCTTTTGATGTTTGTCTAAAAGCCTCAACTTATATAAAGCATGCTACAAAAAAAGTTCTGAAAGTCTATTAATACTTTCCCGTTAGCATTCTCAGCATATATTTCACACTGATCTTTAGAATTGAAACAGTCCTTTTAGTGTGTGCTAGTACAACACGCAGTCTGGTGGAATTCCAAAGATGAATTCCTAAGTAGTCCTCAAAGCTCCCAGAGCTCTCATCCAGCAGGCCCTCCATCTTACTCATACCACCTGATGCTCTGAAAAATGTTTTCCTGATTTCCAGCAAGCGAATTTACAGACGGATTACACTCTGTACTAATTGTTATGGATAACTCATCTTTAGTTCTCCTTCTAGGAGTCCTGATGGTGGTTGTTTTTCCTTGGTCCACACTTCCATCATCCGTGTGGCTTGCACACCATGGGAGCCTCGCCAGAGCCCATTTGACACCCAGTAAACTCCCTGGCCATCACTGCTCAAACCCCTTCACTTTCCTCACTCCCTCAGCTCTGCAGGTACAGCTTTTTTGCAGGAGTATGTGTTGATCTGGATAAGGGATTAAAGATTGTGGTTAAGGTTGGGCTGAAAATGTTTACAGTTTTTTAATTAAATAGGGCATGATTAACAAAGTTATTTTAAAACTGCAGTCATCTGCCCCAGCTCCTGCACGTGGGTAATTTAATGGCTTCGGGGACATCTGTTTCTATAACTGAGAGGGTGGTGCAGAGGCAGGATCTGCTGCTGATAGAAATGCCTGTGAAACGATGAGCTTAGTGTCTYTACCAAGAGAGCTGTGTTGACGTCTCCAGAGAGATTGTGCCCTTGTTGCTGGCCTTCTTGTCAACTTGTTCACTTTGTCTGGGCTTCTGATATTCAGGTAAAGAGTGGTACCAAGCCCTGGTTTGTTGTGTGCAGCACACGATCTCTGTTCTCTGAAGATAAATCGTTCTGACAGGGTGTAACAGTAGCAAGCTGCTTAGTCTGACCAGCTTCTGTTATCTGTTTCAGAAGCTTCAGTGCCTTGAAGTGTTTCAGCACAAATAATTTCTGGCAAATTCACAAGAATACCAAGCGAAAAGAAGGAGAGTGAAAGTCCCGATTACTGTACTTACAATCAAAGTGGGCAGTATGAAACATCCCTTAGCTCCCTCCTCAACCAGCAAACCACTGATTATTGATGACTCTTCAAAGGACACATTCCACAGACATTATACCATCACTTCCTTGCACTACTCTGAGACTCTTCCCCTACATAAGCTGTGAAACCATTGGCCAGCAAAGCTTTCTAAATTGTATCATAGAACATTTTTCCTCAGCTGGGAACAAGTAGATCTATCAGAACAACTTGCAGAATGATTTGATCCTACTCCTTTCACAGAATTGAAATTGGTTTTTTTTTTTTTTTCTGAGAAGACTCAAGTACCAGCTTCCTTCCCTGGCCCAGCCTCTCTCTTCAGCCGTTGACTGTGAAATTCTCCTTATTTACCTGGCACWTTTAGAGACTTGTAATGCATCACTATACTTACTTGCTCCCGACATCTTTTTCCCTGTAATTGACAGTAGGTGTCTTTCCACAGAAAAATACCTCTGTGATGTTATAGCTGCATATCCAACCCCATACTCCACTACTTTCCTGTCTTCTCTCCCACATGCAACTCCTTTCAGAAATGACAAGCTCAAAATCATATCCTCTGTCAAGAAGAGTTCCGCAGTTACTGTCTTTCCTCTGTGCAGATCAACACGAGTTGGCTGAATTCAGAAACACTGCCTGGGAATCACAAGCTTTTGACTTGAAYGCAACCACAGATTTCTTTCTGGAATCAGAATCTGCTTAGGATCAATTTTCACAAGCTGCAATGAGACTTGAGGCTCTGAAGCAGCACCCTCACAAGAAGCAATTTTAATGGCACTTGGGCAGAAATATTTATTCTTGATTTCATCTTATTTGAAGTATTTCACAAGCAATACTTTAATAAAAATGCTTAGTTAAAATGTCACTAAAACAATTCCAAAAATTCTGATCATCCTTTACCAATTATCTTCACCCTCCCAACAGTTCTGTAGTCTGTCTCATGAAACTCCTACTGTCTGTTACCTCATTATTCCGTTCTAAAATTTTACCATTATAGCCCACTTCACACCTCCTCTACCATACTGTCAAATGCTATGGTGACCTGTGGTACATATTGTAGTTCTAGTTAGAGCTATGGAATCAAACGAGCAAAACGTGCACCCTGATCTGCCTGGGACATGTAGGTCACCTATGGCTAGTTCCCAATTTCTTTATGCTTCAGTCTCCCTAGCCATAAAACTGCTTTGCTTATGGCTGAAAACAACAGACTAGAGCTRTATATTAATACTGCTTACAAAGTTTTCAAGTGCATGGCAACCTCTTTGAATGACTAAATCCATGCAGAGATTAATTCTATCTGGAAGACCTAGAAATGAAGTGTCTGTCCACCTGCTGGACAGTGCCTTTCCATCAATGATCTAAGATACYTTCTGCTTCTTCCACCCACTTGGTCAATTCTTCCTTGATGAAGAGGAATAGGTATGAGGCACTCATGCATTTCCAACCTGAAATAAATTCTTTCAGCTCTTTGCTATGGCKGTCTAAACAATGTTGAATGCATTTAAATTTTCTGTGGCAGGTTATCCTTCCTTGCAGAAAAAGAAACTCAGCTCAAGTCTTCCCCCCTCCAATTTCTTCACAAATACCCCTGACTGCATTCAATTGGATGCTGGGAGTGGAAACCAAAAGAACTGAAGCTCTGCCTGAGAACATTTGCCACCCACATACTGCAACAGTGTTCAGGAGCTAAATCTTATTTATGAGGCTTAGTTTCATTTCCAGTCCTTTGTGCCAAAAATCCCAATGCAATGTAATTTGTGCACATGAGTGACTGCACAGTTTTGACATTACTTGCTAYACACTAGACTTCTCTTAATCTGGTCTGGGGTCTACAATCATATTATAGCCCCACACATGTAGGAGTGTGGATGTGACAAATGACACCAGGAGATGCATGCAGAGACATATTCAACAGGCAATAAAAAATAACATAGAGCTCTTAAATAGGACACACTGAGAGATGTATTAACTGTATAGCAACATTTTAGCATGAGCCCAGAACTGGAAGCAGACAGCTTTCTTAGAACGTTTCATCAGGCATGTTTCTCTGTAGTAAGCAAAACTAAAAACCTAGCCAAACTATAGGTAGCCAATACCCTTTGGACTAATATGGACGAAACACAAACACATTTTGCTGCTCAAATACCTTTTGAATAGAAGGCAAACAACTCTGGATTTTGTCATGATATATTTAGGCACATGTTTTTAAAGAAAACCCATTCACTACCCTCATTCATGTTGACTGGTGTCAAATTTAAAATKTACTCTCTACCCTTATTCACTACCCTCACTCACCTGAAGGACTTGAGACTGATATTACAGGAACTCACTCTCCAAGTGAGAACATGTCCATGTGTCACTGTGACGTGGGAACATGTCTCACATGAAACCAAATGCCAATCTCAAAGGAGAGCCTTATGGATTTTAGCTCTATCCTTTGGGAAAGACTAGTGTCTGTCTCCCTTTTGCACCTGTATTGATCGAACTAGGGCTGCAAAGAAGAGAATCTCAGTTCTGGATGCTTGCCAGGAAAATGTAATTCTATCCCATCCTCTGCTCAAAGTAAAGACTAAGAAACATCATTCGTGTCATTGTGTTCCGGCCATCCCCGAGGCTCCAAGTGTCAAAGTGCAACACAGCAAGCCTCAAACTGTGTCAAGAGCAATAATGTAACAAGCACAGGGTCACGAAACAAGCTGGAGCATCYAGTCTGATTATAAACGATCATGCTTATGAAGCAGCGTTTCAAAAACGCTGCCAAGTCTCACGGCTACCACGCTTGGGAGTTTTGTGCTGCTTGTAAGCAGCTTCCTCGTTTAGATCATTGCTACWGCGCCCGTCGGATGGGTGTGATGCCGGTGGTTCAGGGCCAGGTTTAGACTCCCGGCTGCRGGAGCAGATCCTGGGGCCGAGTCCGGACTTGGAGGGCACCGCTGCGGAGGGCGCAGCCACCGAGTTTCAACTCCCTTCCACCGCGTCACCCCCCGTCCGGTCCCGTTCGCTTCCCATCAAGATCATGCAGTCGGTTCCTGGATGCCATTCCCGCATCCGCGTCCCCCGCCCCGGCCCGGTGCAGCGGCGGGAGGGCTCTGCCCGC